CAGAGAGCCGTCACTATCAGTCACCGCCCTCTGCAGGGATTCCCCCCTTTCCTCGCTATTCCTCCAGCACTGACTGGAGGGATTGACGGGGAGCGGGCGGGCACAGCTGGCTCTGGCTCTAGACAATATTGTTGGGATCTTTCCGGCCACTGAAAGAATTCTTCTGCTTTCTTTAAAAAACTAATTCCACCTCTAACACTGTGTTCCATGTTATACCCAAATTTAGGGCAGCAAGCAACTATTCAATTAATCGATAATAATCAACAGTGAAAATAGTTGTCAACTATTCTCATTACGGATTAGTTGGTTGGATCCCCTAGCTCTCTCCTCCATGCTCGGGGGAGGGCACAGCAAGCAGTGGGTGGGTGCAATAGCCAGCCTCCTATTGGCTATTGCAATTTGAAATGGCCAATAGCAGGCTGTCTATTGCACCCGCCCACTACCTGCTGTATTTACATTCAGCTGCCGTCTGCGGAAACTTGCCACTGGCAGCCGTCATTTCCTGGCTGAAGCTATTCAAGTGCCATGTTCTTACAATACAATGATATTTATAAAAGCATTTTTTATAAAAGTGGGAAAAAAGTCATTTTCGGTTTTTGCCTGACAAATTCTGCTGCGGGGGCTGCATTGTGGTGCCATTCATTTCAGTGGCATCTCAAATGCGCCTCCCGCCCACAGTATGATCGCCCGTAGTGGATCGCAAGGTACCGCAATGCCGTACGTTCCTGTGCAGTGCGACTGCAAAAAATTGTGCGTGCGGTTTTATTGTATGTTTGTAACACTGCATTGTGTATTCTATGTTAAATTAACCCCTTCATGACTGAGCTAGTTTTCAGGTTCTGTTCATAAATGACTGACACATTTTTTACATTTTTGCTGTGTGATTCTTCCACAGCAGTAATATACTTTCTTACGAAATGTACCCACACATATTATATATAGTTTTTTAGAGGACAGATAGGGCTATATAATTATATCACATATGTGTACCTAACCCCTCACTTAGTTTGAATAAAAAAAAAAAAATGAGGAAAAAAACTAGAAGAAAACACTTTTTTTCACAAGTTTTGATTATTATTATTTTTTTATGATATAACTCGTCACGTACAGTGTACGTGGCCAGTCATATAGGCACAAAGTGACAAGACGTACACTGTACGTCTCCCGTCACGAAGGGGTTAAGGATGGTATTTAAAATTTTTTATCCGGTTACTCGAAAAAATAATCGGCCAACTAATTGATTATGAAAATAATCATTAGTTGCAGCCCTACCCAAATTTAGGGTGTAACATAGTACAGGGCTCAAAATTTCAAGTCCTGAGCTACTAGCCAGGCCTTAAGAGAACATAGTACATGTTGACATTCCACAGTCCCCACTCTCAACCCACCTCCACCTTCCTGAATCACGGGGTGCTTCGGCTGTGCCTGTAGAGAAGATCTGTGAATAAAAAAACTGTGGCTGATAGATTTGTAGTTCTCAATTAAGTACATATGTGGTAAGATCACCGCACTTGCAGTTCACCGACAATTTCCTCTAGCTCTGTAACAAGATCTGTACCTCGGTACAGAATGGGGGAATAGTCTGCAGTAACCTGTGCATTGCACCCACGGTCTATTGATCACAGCTGCAATGCTTTGCAGGCGCAAATACCAAAATTTAATGAATGAACATTTTTTCTTTTCGCAATGTCGGGACATTTATTAATTTTTTTGCAAAGGAAATGGAACATGCCTTTAATCCCGGGCAAACGATGTAGAGTGCCTTCCTCCTACACAGCAGTACAGCTAGTGCTAAAATATAACTGCACTTTAAATATGAAACTGGACATGGCCTTTTACATCTACAGCTGTGAAAATACATTACATGAGAAATCAGCTGAAAATGGCACAATATTCTTTTCGGATCCCTCTGGCAAGTCTGGCGGGTGGAAGTATTGAATAATTAATAAAAACGATGTCATAGATCATCTGGACGCTTATACCGGTACAATGAAGATGAAAATGTCAGCTCAGGAAAGGTGCTACAAAAGTTAAAGAGGATAGGGGAAAATGAGTTCCAAAATAAAAGATGTCACTGTGATGAATTGCTGCAATTTATTCTTAGCTGGAACATTTTAGCGATGGGGACAGTGAGGGACGATCTGGCTTAGTGGGTGAACAGATCCATTTTAAGTGAAAACAGTGAGCTCTTCTGTTCTATTAATGACTCCTCTATTACCGTGTACACACGTCTTCCACAATAAACAACAAAAGAAACTGAAACAACAACAAGACGACTTACATGGAACTATGAGAAACACTGAGCTCTCTGAATACCCAAAGCTGGCACATTATGTGTGTTTAATTGCAGGGCTGCCACCAACTAATCTATTAATCGGTAATAAGCAATAATGAGAATAGTTGTCAACTATTCTCATCGATTAGTTGGTTGGATCCCCTAGCTCTCTCTTCCATGCTGGGAGGTGGGCACAGCAAGCAGGGGGTGGGTGCAACAGCCATCCTGCTATTGGAATTCGAAATGGCCAATCGCAGCCTGGCTATTGCACCAGTCCACTACCTGCTGTATTTACATTCAGCTGCAGTCTGCGGAAACTTGCCACTGGCAGCCGTCATTTCCCTGGCTGAAGCTATTCAACCGTCATGTGCTTACAATATAATTATTAAACAAAAACAAATTATAAAAAGTGGGAAGAAAAGTCACTTTCAGTTCCAGCCTGACAGATTCTGCTGCGGGAGGTGCAATGCAGTGCCATTCATTTTAATGGCACCCCAAATGCGCCTCCCACCCACAGTGTGACCGACCGCACTGGAACACACGGTAGCGCAATGCCATGCGTTCCAGTGCAGTGCAATTGCAAAGAATTGTGCATTCAGTTTTATTTTGAAGTAGCTTTATGTTTGTAACACTTCAATTGTCTATTTTATTTTAAATTAAGGATGGTATTTATTTATGTTTATCCGATTAATCGAAAAAATTATCGGCCAAATAATCGACTATGAAAATACTCATTAGTTGCAGCCCTATTTAATTTAAAGCAATTATAAACCCAAGAATAAAAATGTAATATGGTGCAGCTTACCAGTCCTTAGATGCAGTGGCTGCATTCATTTCTTTTTCTCCTCTATTTTATCTGGTAATCTGGCCAGGTGCACACTTCCTATCCTGGGGTGACAACGCTCACTTACTGCACTGTATCAGTGGAGAGGCTGCTCTACTGAATTGGAAAACTGAGCGAGGATAATAATACTTCTGGGGATTTCAGTACCGCAGAGTGCACAGAATGTTAACAGCTGATGGTATTTCCATCAGGATCAACAAGTATTTTTTTTTCAGTTATTGAACATTACAAAACGCTCCGGAGTTAAATCTTACAAATGCATTCAAGTACATTAACTATTAACAAAAATTTATCTTATTTGTGTATCACTCGGCTGTAGATCCTCAAATCATCTCTGAATTGGTGCTGACACTGTCCTTCCTTCTGGATGGTGGCTACTTTTGTTCCCCATGGCGCCCGTGTGTGTTGTAAAGTAGCCACCGCTCCAAGCTCGCTCCTGTGATGGACTACAATCTCCATACAAATGAGTAAACTAAACATGAGATTGTAGTCCATCACAGGCGCGAGCTTGGAGCCGTGGATACTTTACAACACACACAGTGTTGTAATCAGTGTACTTTATGTGATGACTTAAGAATCCTTACACCGCTGCAGTGGAGGGTGAGAGACTTGAAGGACCACTCTAAAAGCAAGCCAGCTCCAAGGTACAGGTGAGTATTCCTTTTTTTATTTTGGCATGTAGACAAAAATGGGCAGTTAACCCTTGCAGAGCGGGGGTAGCCCCAATGCGAGGGTTAATAAAAGTTTTACCTGTAGTTCTTTTAAGATTTCTAACATAATAAAATGAATGGAAATGCCATTGTACCTGGAAAATCTGTCTTCATGATATCAACTCCAACCTGTAGCTCCGGCTCAGCAGCAAGGACAGCATAATCCCCTTGGTGGGAGACATTGAAGTTAAAGTTCGGGAGCTCATGAGGGACACCACTGGCCAGGAATGGCTTTCCTTTTACTGTTCTTTCCAAGTGTATCCTGTCCCAAGGTATGTGAAGCTTTTCTGCAATCAGCTTTCTCATCAGAAGACGACCAGCCTACAAAAAGAACAGATTATAAAAGCATAATTGAGGTAACATAAACCCTAAAAACTTTCCTAGGGCATAACTCCTATGCCCTGCACCCTGTCCCCCGATGTGACTCCCTGGCCACTCTGCCAGCAAATCCTGGCTGACAAAATGACAGTCGGGCCTTGCTCTGTATTACAGGTGAGGCTCTTGTTCTTGAGCTGCTCCTGTGTAAAATGACACTGGCAGTTAAGTCCACAAGTGTCATCCAGAAATATGACGTAGCAATTAGGGACGCAACGATATAGTGTTTGTTCTGAATGAACAAACACTCATAGAGGATTCCTGTTCATTGATAACTGGGGATACAGAAAAAGAGATGGAGGACTTTGTGTTCTCAATCTCTTTTTCTATTTTTAACCCCTTCGTGACTGACGACGTACAGTGTACGTCGCCAGCATCGGGGCTGTTTAAACAGACTCCCGGCGACTTTTGCCGCCGGGAGTCTGTTTAAACTTGTAGAGCCGACTGTCGGCTTTACAACAGAAGCGATCCTGGCGACTTACCTGTCGCCAGATCGCTTCTGCGTCCCGAAATACTTTACAACACACACAGTGTTGTAATCAGTGTACTTTATGTGATGACTTAAGAATCCTTACACCGCTGCAGTGGAGGGTGAGAGACTTGAAGGACCACTCTAAAAGCAAGCCAGCTCCAAGGTACAGGTGAGTATTCCTTTTTTTATTTTGGCATGTAGACAAAAATGGGCAGTTAACCCTTGCAGAGCGGGGGTAGCCCCAATGCGAGGGTTAATAAAAGTTTTACCTGTAGTTCTTTTAAGATTTCTAACATAATAAAATGAATGGAAATGCCATTGTACCTGGAAAATCTGTCTTCATGATATCAACTCCAACCTGTAGCTCCGGCTCAGCAGCAAGGACAGCATAATCCCCTTGGTGGGAGACATTGAAGTTAAAGTTCGGGAGCTCATGAGGGACACCACTGGCCAGGAATGGCTTTCCTTTTACTGTTCTTTCCAAGTGTATCCTGTCCCAAGGTATGTGAAGCTTTTCTGCAATCAGCTTTCTCATCAGAAGACGACCAGCCTACAAAAAGAACAGATTATAAAAGCATAATTGAGGTAACATAAACCCTAAAAACTTTCCTAGGGCATAACTCCTATGCCCTGCACCCTGTCCCCCGATGTGACTCCCTGGCCACTCTGCCAGCAAATCCTGGCTGACAAAATGACAGTCGGGCCTTGCTCTGTATTACAGGTGAGGCTCTTGTTCTTGAGCTGCTCCTGTGTAAAATGACACTGGCAGTTAAGTCCACAAGTGTCATCCAGAAATATGACGTAGCAATTAGGGACGCAACGATATAGTGTTTGTTCTGAATGAACAAACACTCATAGAGGATTCCTGTTCATTGATAACTGGGGATACAGAAAAAGAGATGGAGGACTTTGTGTTCTCAATCTCTTTTTCTATTTTTAACCCCTTCGTGACTGACGACGTACAGTGTACGTCGCCAGCATCGGGGCTGTTTAAACAGACTCATTAGCAATGATGTGGTTACATTTTATCGATTTCGTTTTTTTCACATGTGGATCAAAGGGGGCACTTTTGACTGCATATGAGGTCAGTTAAAGCAACTTGAATAACATATTTCTTTAATTGTGTTCCTATTTAACCCATTTATTATTCTTCTCAGCCCAAATAACTAATTTGTGATTCGTCACTCCAGAGAACACATCTCCACTTCTCTAGAGTCCAGTGGCGGCGTGCTTTACACCACTGCATCCGACACTTTGCACTGCACTTGGTGATGTAAGGCTTGGATGCAGCTGCTCGGCCATGGAAACCCATTCCATGAAGCTCTCTACGCACTGTTGTTGTGCCAATCTGAAGACCACACAACGTATGGAGGTCTGTAGCTATTGACTCTGCAGACAGTTGGCGACTTCTGCGCACTGTGCGCTTCAGCATGTGCTGACCACGCTCTGTCATTTTACGTGGCCTACCACTTCGTGCCTCAGTTGCTGTTGTTCCCAGTTGCTTCCACTTTGTTATAATACCACTAAGCCCTCATTCACACTGTAATCAGCCAGCACATACAGCTCTGTGCTGCGTGCACGGGCGTATCAAGCAGCTCCTGGGAAGGACAGGTGCTGCATTTGATAATTACGCAGCCCCCGTCCTTCTCTATGGGACTACGCGGCCGTACGCCCTGCACATCCGTGTCGGTGAGCGTACTCGCACACTGACAGGATGGATCCTGTCTGCGTCCGAGCGAGGAAACACGCAACCGAACGGACCTGCACTTGAGGTGAGCATAGGGGGGCGTACGGCCGCGTAGTCCCATAGAGAAGAATGGGGGCTGTGTACTAATCACATGCAGCACCTGTCCTTCCCGGGAGCTGCACAGAGCTGTACGTGCGGGTCGATTCCTGTGTGAATGAGGCCTAACAGGTGACCGTGGAATATTTAGTAGCAAGGAAATGTCACGGATGGACTAACTGCACAGGTGACAACCTATTACGGTACCACGTTTGAATTCACTGAGCTCCCGAGAGCGACACGTTCTTTCACAGATGTTTGTAGAAGCGTCTGCATGCCGAGATGCGTGGTTTTATATACCTGTGGCCATGGAGGTGATTGGAACACCTGAATCTAATGATTGGAGGGGTGTCCCAATACTTTTGGCAATATAGGGTATGTTTTATATAGTTAATATGAATTACTTTATGTATGATTATCATCATAATCATCATTATTCATGTTAATATTAAGCAATAATAGCTACTCAGTCCTGGAAACCTGCAGAGTATCTCATAATATAGAATATGTACATTTAAAAATTAAAGTGACACTAAACTCAGGGGTTAAACCTTAAAAATACATTCAAGCACCCCAACTATTAACAGAAATGTATCTTATTTGTGTATCACTCGGCTGTAGATCCTCAAATCATCTCTGAATTGGTGCTGACACTGTCCTTGCTAGTCGGCCCCGCTGGATCTCGAAATACCTGAACAATCTGATTGGAAGCCGGCATTGTTCAGGTGGTTTGACAGCCAGCGGGGCCGACTAGTAAGATACTGAAGCTTGGTCCAGCAGGACATTCCTCCATCCACACAGTGTAGCGTAGATGGAGGAATCTGTTGCACTTTTTCCATCTGACCATAGAAAACCTGCAGATAATCTATAGGTGTATGGCCGGCTCCACGCTTCGGGTGAGTATAACTTTTTTTTAAGCACCTAGATGAAAACGAGCAGTTAACCCTTGCAGTGCAGGAGTACCCTCATTGTAAGTATTAATAAAAGCTGCTCAAAGTTCTTCTTTAATAAAGTACGGCGGCAGTAAAGTGGTCAGACATGGTTTCCCTGCCCACAAGCTCCTTACTGAGCGGCCTTTGATGGAAAAAGTCTGGCGGTGGGGGGGAATCGCCATTACTTACTGTGGCACATGGTAACAATACTCGTGCAGTACACCAATACTCTGAACCTGAAGGGGGAGGGGCGTAACAACCTGGAAGTGGGTCGAATGATGATGGGACATCTAGTGGCAGAAAAGAAGTACTGCACTAGACAGCTCCTGATTCAATGTGAGTATTACAGCAACTGCTGCTTTTTATTTTAACTTGTATTTATTTTTTGCTGGAGTTGTGCTTTAAACAGACAGAATACAATGAAGAGATGTCAGCAGCTGGCAGTGAATGGTATTGTCTGTAACAGTGTTCCTGTAAATAAGCAATGTGTCCCTCCGCAATCATACATTATATTAGGAATATACCATGGCAGCCTTGGCATCCCGTGTGAACACAAACTGCCCAATGCGCCTCTTCTCCTCAGGCTGAATACATCGAGAACCGAGCAGCCACTCTTCCCGGCCAGGTGCCCACCGAGCACAAGGGAATGCCCATCTCACACCCTCCATGGCTACGAGCCTGCACACTGCCCGCATTCACCGACTCATCGGCGCCCTCAGCAGGTGAAAGACAGCTCGACTGTCACCTTGCAGTCCTTTCACTCATTCCCCATTCCAACGACTTCCCCAAATTCTTCATCCTATTGACTCACATAAGTACAACGTGAAAGCTGACAGGTTTACAAAGTGTCTCCAGAGGAGAGCGTTTGTTATATGGTTGGCGGACATTTTCTTGAAGCCAGAGGCACGGGAGGAACAGCAGATATCACACGAAACATGGCTCCGCCAACGAAGACAACATTTATCCAGGTTATAGTTGTCCTCTATAATTGACTGGTGTGTAGCTGCGTTTTTTATATTTCACAAAACTTTATTAGTACGCCTTGAGGTTTACAGAGATAACCATTTCGTCCTTGAATTGTGCAATAACCAAACTTTGTACATGTAGATTAAACTTTTAGTCATGTACTCTAAGATTTGAGTCTTTTTTTGGTTTTGTTTAGTGTCCAGTGCAATAGCAAATATTTTTTGTATTTAAAGCTAATAGCAAAGGGCTATTTAAAGTCACTGTCCGATTTTTCTCATTAGGGAGACTTTCTTTCACTTCCTGTCCCATAGACTCAACAGGAAGTGTGAGGTAAATCCCCTTAGGGAAAGTTGTCATGGGAACAAGTGTCCCCTTTGGAAGATGTTTCCTGTTCTTGAGACAACTCAGAACTGTGGATTTCCCCTTAGCATGCGTTGGGTTGTGGAGCAGTGAAGAAAAGTGGTGCACACCATGATACCATGTGTTGTGTTGCTGGGCAATGGAAAAAAGTAGTGCATGCATTATTTTTTCACTGCAATGCACAGTGTTGCGGTACCTTGCTGGGAGGTGCATTGGGGTGCCATTGCTTGAGGTGCATTGGTAATCAGTGAACACCCCACTTCAAAAGCATTGGTGGTCAGTGAAAGTTTCCCCTTTCCCCGGCATTTGTGGTCAATGGTTAGTGCACGTTTCCCTGTTCTTCCTTTGCCAGGCATTGGTGGTTAGTAAAACCTTTCCCCTTCTTCCCCTTCCCAGGCATTGGTGGTCCGTGGTTAGTGAAACGTTCAACCCTACTTCCCATTTTGAGGCATTGTGGGTCATTGGTAATGAAATTGTTCTTCCTACCTTCCCTTTCCAGACATTGGTTGTAATTGTTCAGTGAAAGTTGCCCCCTTACTAGGCATTTGTGGTCAATGATTAGTGCCTATTTTATTCTTCCTACCTTCTCTAGTTTGTTCTTCCCAAACATTGGTTATCAATGGTTAGTGAAAGTTTCTCCCCACCACTCCCTCAGGTATTGGTGGTCAGTGGTTAGTGAAAGTTTCCCCCCTACCCCCACCAGGTATTGGTGGTCAGTGAAAGTTCCCCCCTTCCCAGGTATTGGTGATCAGTGGTTAGTGAAAGTCGCTTCCCTTTCCCAGGTATTGGTGGTCAGTGAAAGTCGCTCCCCCTTCCCAGGTATTGGTGGTCAGTGGTTAGTAAAAGTCGCTCCCCCTTCCCAGGTATTGGTGGTCAGTGGTTAGTGAAAGTCGCTCTTCCAACTCAGGTATTGGTGGTCAGTGAAAGTTCCCCCCTTCCCAGGTATTGGTGATCAGTGGTTAGTGAAAGTCGCTTCCCTTTCCCAGGTATTGGTGGTCAGTGAAAGTCGCTCCCCCTTCCCAGGTATTGGTGGTCAGTGGTTAGTAAAAGTCGCTCCCCCTTCCCAGGTATTGGTGGTCAGTGGTTAGTGAAAGTCGCTCTTCCAACTCAGGTATTGGTGGTCAGTGGAAGTTTCCCCCTTCCCAGGTATTGGTGATCAGTGGTTAGTGAAAGTTGCTCCCCTTTCCCAGGTATTGGTGGTCAGTGAAAGTCACTCCCCCTTCCCAGGTATTGGTGGTCAGTGGTTAGTAAAAGACGCTCCCCCTTCCCAGGTATTGGTGGTCAGTGGTTAGTGAAAGTCGCTCTTCCAACTCAGGTATTGGTGGTCAGTGGAAGTTTCCCCCTTCCCAGGTATTGGTGGTCAGTGGTTAGTGAAAGTCGCTCCCCTTTCCCAGGTATTGGTGGTCAGTGGTTAGTGAAAGTCGCTCTTCCAACTCAGGTATTGGTGGTCAGTGGAAGTTTCCCCCTTCCCAGGTATTGGTGGTCAGTGGTTAGTGGAAATTTCCCCCTTCCCATGTATTAGTGGTCAGTGGTTAGTAAAAATCGCTCCCCCTCCCTTCCTTCCCAGGCTGTGGTGGTCGGTGGTTAGTGGAAGTTTCCCCCTTCCCAAGTATTGGTGGAAGTTTCCCCCTTCCCAGGTATTGGTGGTCAGTGGTTAGTGGAAGTTTCCTCCTTCCCAGGTATTGGTGGTCAGTGGTTAGTAAAAGTTTTCCCCCTCCACTGCTTCAATAGCATTGGTGATCAGTGTAAGTTTCCCCACTTACTCTCTGTTTTCAGGTATTAGTGGTCAAGGGTTAGTGAATATTCTCGTTCCTCCCCTTCCGAGGCATTGATGGTAAGAGGTCAGTAAAAGTTCTCCCCTTCCTAGGCAATAGTGGTCAGTGAAAGTTCTCCCCCTTCAAAAGTATTGGCGGTCAGTGAGTGTTTTACTTCTTCCCAGGTTTGGTAGTCAGTGGTTAGTAAATGTCCCCCCCCACCTTCCCAGCCATAGGTGGCCAATTATCATTGAGAGTCCCCTCCCTCCCCTGTTTCAAAATCATTGATCTGTGAAAATGTCCCTGTTCCATTCCCAAGAACCTCCTATGTTAATAGCCACCGTGGTGAAGTCCCACCTGACATGGAAGCCACTACAAGACGTCTCTCCTCATGTCACTTCCAGGCACCAACCTGCTCCACCCCAAGCACCTCCTGCAATTATTACCACCCATTGTGAAGTCCCACCTGCCATGAATTCCCCTCCATGTCACCTCCAGGCACCAACTTGCTCCATCGTCAAGTACCTCCTGCACTATTTACCATCCACGGTGAAGTCCCACCTGCCATGGAAGCCACCCCTAAGCTCTTGTTCTCATGTCACTTCCAGGCACCAAAATATACAACATTTCACCTCCAAGAGCTTCCTGTAATAATTACCACCAAGGAAGACGGCCCACTGGCCAAGGAAGACAAGTGTGTACACTGGGCAGCACAGTGGTGTACTGGTTAGCACTTCTGCCTTGCGGCACTCAGGTTTGCCAGTTCAACCCCGTGTCAGGACGCTCTCTGCAAGGAGTTTGCATGTTCTCACTGAGCTTGCATGGGTTTCCTCCGGGTACTCTGGTTTCCTCCCACACTCCAAAGACATGCTAGAATGTTGTCACCCCAGGACAGGAAGTGTGTTACTAGGTGAACATAAGAGGAAAAAGAAATGAATGCAGCAAACATGTCTAAGGTCTAGTAAGCTGCATTATATTATATTTTTGTATGTGGATTGTGATACACATTAAACCCAATGAATATTTATCTACTATTGCTTTTCCTTTATATTAGTGATTCAAAATAACCAACACGATCACTGGTACAATATAAGCAGCTTTGGCAGTTACATATTACATTTACTTATACCAGGGGTGGGCAACTCCGACCCTCCAGCTATTGTGGAACTACAAGTCCCATGAGGCATTGCAAGACTGGCAGTTACAGACATGACTCCCAGAGGCAGCGGCATGTTAGGATTTGTAGTTAAAGCACAGCTGGAGGGCCAGAGTTGCCCACCCGACTTATAAGGGATCTCTAAGAGCTTATTCAGACAGATGGTCACCAGTGAGAACCTGTGATTCCTGCAAGCAGGGAATTGGAGTTAATTGGGCCTCATTTATAAAACACAGCATGGCACTAGTGCCCCTAGATATAATTGAAGAGTATAGGAATTTCTCATACTAACAGCGCGGCCATAAGTGCGGTTTCATTCACGATTGCCGCGCGGTTACGGATCGCCCAGGTGTGAACCTGGCCCCAATAGGTTCTGGTTGTACACATTGACCATACAGTTTGTACGCGGCCCTAGCTTATGGTGCTGCTGCGTTTAGATGCAGAGTGTGGCCACATGTGAACGCAGCAGCATAATTGCCTATCTGAATGAGCCCTATGAGGGAAAAGAGGGACCAAAAGAGGGTCAAGTCCCCTAAAAAAGGGACACCTGGGAGATATGATATCAATGTATTGTTGACTATAGTTTGCTGCTATTATTCAGCTGTCCTCCATGATAGCTTTCTGCATAGCCCCCAGGCTTGTCTCCATTCATCCTTATGAATTATTCAGTCTCATTGTCAGCATGTAAAGGAAATATTATTGTCTGTCAGGCTGTTCTTGTACCAGTCAGCCTCACACTCACAGCACCCCCAAGCAAGACTTTCCAGTAGCTGCTCAGCCAATCACAGCAATCGGGAGAGACAGACAATGGGAGACGAGGAATCCCAGCCTCAATGGAATGTGGAAGGCGCTTCCTGATTGGCTGAGGCGCGAGTGATGCTGCTGCTTGTAGCTGTCACCTATGTGTGTTTCCATTTAAATATGACAGATGAATCCCGTCACTGAGGACTCTGGCCGGCATCGGTGAGTGCGAGCTGCCTGCACAGCAAGGTCGGTACCGGGAATGACTGGAATGCAGATGGTATGACGATCACCGAGGCTCAGACTGTGCAGCACAGAGAAGCAATGCTTGTGTATTCACATTCTGGCCTTGTGATGATCTATGTACACTATGTTACATGTGATGGAGCAGAATTTTGTGTTGAAGGCATAGTCCACTTTTTGCACAAAAATAAGAAGAAATGCACCCATGATGCAAAAATAAAAAATATGCATTTATTATTTTTGTTGTATTATAGCCTGCAAAGATCAGTGCAATGCACAGGCTCCTGAAGACTATTTCCCCAGCCCCATGCAGCCATGTAGACAGGAAGTGGCTGCAAAAACGATGCAGGGGATCAGCAGCACTGAGATACAACAAAGTATTTTCATTTAAAACATGGCAATAGTTTATAATACACAGTGTCAGACAGTCAGGGTTTACATCTACTTTAGGGGAAACCTGGCTGCAGTTGTGACCTACTGCTTGCAGATCAGGAGACTCAAGGTACTGAAGCCATTGGATTAGTATGACAGCCAGGGAACTAGTGTTTTAAAAAGGAGAGGTTGTCAGTTGCAACCTAGATATCTCCTCTGTGTGGGTTAATTGAAGGCAGGGGGTGGGCAGACTCCGACCCTCCAGCTCTAGTGAAACTACAATTCCAATCATGCACCTGTATTTGGGAGTCATGCCTGTGGCTTTGAGAATCTTGCAATGCTCCATGGGATTTGTAGTTCCACAACAGTTGGAGGGCTGGAATTTGCCCACCCCTGATTTAAGGTGTATATAAAGCCAAAATTATTTTTTTGCATAGGGTATGCTTCAGTTCACTGAAAAAACTTAAATAAATAAAATTCTTGGGGGGGGGGGCAAACCCCCCTCAAAATGTTCAACTGTCGGGTGCAAAGCATCCATGGTTGCTATGACACCGTCAGCTGCACTGCATCCTTGGTTGCTATGACACTGTCGGCTGCACAGCATCCTTGGTTGCTATGACACTGTCGGCTGCACAGTATCCTTGGTTGCTATGACACTGTCACCTGCACAGCGTCCTTGGTTACTATGACACTTTTGGCCACATAGCACCATAACAAACAATGGCACTCTGCTGCCGTCAGCATTGTAGCAACCAATGAAGCTTTGCAACCTGTGGCGTGTCGGGGATATGAATATTCAGCCTCAGTGCCTCCCCCACCTGACAAATTCATGTACCCATTTGCAACAGGTACATGCGGTTATCACAGGCAGCAATGTTATTAGCACAGAGCAACACAATTCTGTGACCGCCACGCCCCCTTTCCAGCCCAATCATTGGCGGCAGGGGGGCGTCCCCTTCCCCTTTGTGACATATAGCTTTGGGTGTGGAAAGTGCCTGCTGCAATTGATTGGGCTGGGAGCTGGCTTGCGTGCACCACCAAGCCCTGACTCATCAGTGCCGTGCATTGCAGCACAACACAAGTTTCTCCCCGCCAGAAAGTTTTTTTGGGGTGCCATTCAGGATAAATAGCATGGCAGTGCTCCAGAGCACCTAGCGTGCAGTGCTGTGCAATAGCGTGCACTAAACACATGAATACCTGTCTTTACTGCAACGCATGGATACCATGCATTTAGTGCAACGCTATGGTGCCAATGGGCACTCAAAAACTATCTGTGGTCAAAAACTCCAGGTCTTATCTTGTTTTCTGCCCCAGCTATCTGCACAGGTGAGAGTGATGATCAGTCCATTAGCACACCTGTTCTCAAGCATGATGGTCTTTTTTTAACACTGGTCTTAATAGCAGTCTGTGGAACACGAAAAATCTAAAATAAGAATGAGAGGTCGTAGAAGGAGACGAGGAGCTGGAAGCTGCAGGAAATTCCTGAATTCCACTCTGGGCATGACAACAGAAAATAAAGGCAAGGAAGATATTCAGGATAAAGGTGGAGCTCGGCCTTACTCTCAGACTCTAAGGTGTAAATTGCAGGCCAGGAGGAGAGGAGGAGGACGGGGGAAGGCACTGCATGGATGGAAGGAGGACAGACATCTCAGATCACAACCCAGTTCTCAGCAACCATGGAAGAATATAGAGGACATGAAAACCGAGGATGAGCCCCATGCATCGATGCGTCCACGGAACATTCGATTCTCCCAAGCAGAAAACATGACCCTTGTCTCCAAGCTGCTGCCACTATATGAGCAGTTACTGGGCAGGCAGAAATCCACCATGTCCTTCAACAGGAAGTCCCAGATGTGGCAGGAGATCTGTGATGCTGTAAATAGGGTAGGACACAGACAGCGTACTGTACATCATTGCAAAAAGAGATTCAATGACATCAAGCGGCAAGTAAGGAACAAGCTGAACCGGGAGAAAAGCAATGTGACCGAAGGATCCCCTCCAATCCATGTCTATTACACCAAGTATGAGGAGGAACTTAAGAAGGTCCTACCGGCCGAAGTAATTGATGGATTCGAGTTTTTCGATTCAGATCAACCTCATGACCCGTACCTGGAGGAAGAGGCTGGTGAGTGTTCTCTTTTCCTGAATGTCCAGATCATCACCAGACCAGATTGTTTTCCGACCAAAAATGCATCCTAATGTATCCCTATGCTATTTCTGGCCACTGTTCACACCAGCACAGTCCGTTCTAGACCAGAAAAATACTGCTTGCCCTATTTTGTCTGGTCTGGAATGCACATGTAAGACCATCTTAAGCAAAAAAAATATATAGCAATCGCAGCAAAAATGCAATACACCGCGTTCCAGATCTGGTCCAGAAAATGGTGTGAACCTGCCCTTAAAGCATCCTTTAGTTTTAGTTTGGGAGTGTTAATCCTAAAATCATCATGGGAGTTTTCCCACTGGGGGCTTATTTATACCATGTGCATTGGGCTGCATTGTTCAACAGAAGCCCAGTGCAATAAAAAGGCAAAATTAATTGCTTCCAATAGGCTCAGTTTACACCAACGTGCTGCACTGCATGCTAAGGAAAGAAAAATAATGTACTTTGGTTCATGTTGTGAAGAAAAAAAATCCCATGCAAATGTTTAACAAAAAAAATGCATACCAACACAAAGTGTTGAAAATGTATGGCGACGCAGGTCAACGAAAGTGCATTAAATGCATTGGCAGTGGTGTGAATCCAGCCTTAAATAGACTGCTGGAAGTCTTTGAAGCCAGTTGGCAGCTTGTGTATTGTCACTCCACACTCTCACTAAGATCTCTGTTTAGCTGGAGGATGCTTAAGGGCCGCTGTGCTAAAGTGCATTGTGTAAAGTCGGCCCATTTCATTTGAACGCAGTAATATGGAGGCTGCCATTGCTGGTTTTGAAAATGCTAGTTGCCTGGCAGTAATGCTGATCTCTGATTTAAAAGTATATGTAAACCCGAACAATTTGTTAATCCTGATTTTTGTTTCCTTTTTGGTCAAACACAACATCAAAAGCGTATGTAAGCATGAGTGCAAAAATGACTATTGACCCTGACCTAAATGGAAGAGATGTTCACTCTGCAGCGCTATCTATAGTCCTAATCAGCCCTCCTAGCAGGGCTGGCTCCATTTCTTAAAATTGCAATCAAGAAAAAGCACCGTGATCAGTGGACAACACAGAATTCGTAAGGTAGTGCATACAGAGGTATTTTCTGTGATTGAAGGGTTTCTGTGCTTAAAGATGGGGAAATGTGCACAGTGCATGTATAGGAGAGATGGCATTCATCTTATGTGTAGGGTTTTGTTTTTTTACACTTAGGTATTTTCTGGGTAACTGACCTGAAATCTAGTGTACAAGCAGCCAATTAGGTCAGAGCTCCTAATCTGCATACTACTCTAGATCAGTGACTCATGGAGCCATTAAATCAGCTTGACAACCAGGCAACTAGCATTTTCAAACAGGTCAGCAGTGGCAGGCAGCAGGCATATCCTTTCAAAGCAATCTTTAAAAAAAGACATGAAACTTGATATTGGGAGCAGAGACTGGGAATTGACTGATCTGCAGCCATGTGCTTGCTCAGCTTTGGTCTTGGAGCCGGTGTGTGACAGATGCAGTGTTCCTCACTGACTCTAAGCAGTGGTGTGTGTATGTGTAAAATATATGGTGCATATATATATATATATAGCTCTCCTGCACTTCTTTTATGGTAGTGTTAGTGGCATGCATCTTTTATAGCAGACATCTCAACTCTCCTGGACGTTTCGGGAGACTCCCGCTTGAAGATGGCGATACCCGGTAGAGAAACATTTTATCCCGGAAAGGATTACTTTGCTCTATCTAGCAGAGTAAACCTTTCCCTGCTGTCTGTTTCTGTTGTGTGGGGTTTTTTTTTTTTAAATGTTGTTCTGACTTTGGGATCGCTGCCAGATTAAAAAAAATACAGCATTGAAATGAATAGCTAGTTTTCTATTGGCTACTTCAATTTGCAATAGCCAATAGCAGGCTGGCTATTGCACCCGGCCTGTGCTGCTGTCAATCAACCTCAAGTTCTCCCATCTTTGGCATCTTCACCCTTCACTTTGTGTGGCAGAGAAACTTGGCACAGTACTTCTGCCCAATGGGGAGGCGGTGGGAGGCATTTTGGCATCTTCATCTTGTGTTCCAGAAGAAGTCCCAGCATTGCTGCCTATGTGCCATAGAAAAATGTTGTTTTTGAAAAGTACATAAAGCTGATTCTGACAACTGTCAGTACTTGGTGGAATTGTCCTTTTGATTAAAACAAATCTCTACCTCTGCAAACAAAAACAAAATCTATATAAACAATATCCTTTTTTCTTTTCTTCAGGGCCTTCATGGTTTTCACAGCCTCAAGACAAAGATCGGAGAAAGACAGACGTTTCACTTTCTGATGCAGAACTCACATTTTCTGTGGATTCTGAACCAGAAGAATCACCGGTTCAGTACAGCGATCCTTTACAAGAGCAGTGGTCTATTGTCACAGATGTCACCCCAACATACACTGTGGATTCAAATCCATTAGGGCTCAAAAACATGGCTGCAGATTCTTCTATTCTGCCGACTAATGTTTCCACCAAGCCAAAAGCACGTGGCCTCCACAAAACAAGATCTCTACAGTCATCAAGTAAAAATATTAGCACTACACTTTGTCGAGCCCAAACTCCTACCAAATATCTAAATATCCTAAAGGCCAATCAGCATTTGTTTCGCAAGAGTATGATACATGGACTAAATGTTCTGCATTTTGATTTCTGCCATTTCACCCATCACATCAATACAAATTATGATACTGCTAAGAAAATGCTGCAAGTAGAAACCCAAAGAAATCGTATATTGCTTCAGATGAACAACAACATTGACAGACTTGCTGAAAGTATCCAGCTGCTGGCAAACCAGCAACAAAGTGAACGAGTCCTGGTGCATGACTTTCTACAGGAACGAAGGTCAAGGTGGAACCAAACTGCCTCTCCAACAGATGAATTTCCTGCAGCTCCCAATGCTCGATAGTCTGACTTCTACAGGAATGGAGGCATTCGTAAGACTTGCACAGGATAAAAACTGGACAGTTTCTGCAAAGTACTATGAATTTACAGTTTGCCAATTTGTCTTGTACAATAGTAAATAAAATATAAAATGCACAACTGTGTGTTTTCAATATTGATTACTAAAACAATTGAGGCATCAAAAGCAAAGTTATATTCTATAGAGAATGACTGACGCATTGGTCTGTGGTACATGAACATTGTATGCCGCTCTCCCCCCGTAGTAGTGTTAATGAGCATTGACATCTCTATCCACACTTTGGTCTGTGCTGCAGTAGTGTTGGATGCTACTTTATCTTTTGTCTCTTTGGCAAGGAGTATTGACAATTGCATGTGCCATATAGAACCATTTTTGTTTCAGATGACCAGTTTCTGACTGTTGACTTTAAAAGGTCTAAACTTGGGACTAAGATGCCCCTATGTACAGTTTAGACTCCTATTAGTGTAGATGCTCATTTAAAACAAGCCAGTAGAGCTACCAGGCACAGCATCAAAGGCCTGGTAATTTGAATTATTTGTGTGTGTGTGTATATATGTATATATTTGTGTGTGTGTGTGTATGTATATGTATATGTGTATATATATGTGTGTGTGTGTATATACAACATTTTAGGAGAGCGTACAACTCTCCTGCATTGGGCCGCATTCAGCATACCTGCAGCAGCCATCCATCCGGAGCTTATACGGCTTATTAAATGCTAGGGGCACTGGTCCCTGTTAAGGAAGTGCTTAGCATTTGAGTAGGAACACATCCTATTTAAATGATTAGCAGTATGTCTGGCAAAACTACATAAGCTGGCTGGCCTCATTGAGCCACTTTTAAAGGCCATCTACATGAGTGCTTAGAGATTTAAATGGTCACAGAAGACTGTACTTGAACTGATCAGAAAACTGCAAATCCCGGAACATCTATATCTGGGGAAAGGAGGGTCCCAGCACATAAATATCAACCATATATATATATCCCCTAGTGGTGGGTCTCCGGTGTTACATAGAATTGGCACATTTCCCCATGGAGGGAGATCCTACCACAAATGCAATGCTGCAGCTATTTAGTTATGTATAAAACATGTAATTTATTGAATGCATACGAAATATAATCTTTAAAATATAAAGCACGCACATCATTCCACTTGGCTAATGTAATAAAGAGTTCTATAGTGGACCCCTCAAAATCATTCATATGTGGACTGCACAATAGCAAAATGTTTGCAGATTTGTTGATATCCATATGAGGCAGATTAAGCAGATTTTCTGTGCTCACCCATCCGTGTGGGACGCACATGTATTGGCCAAAAAACTCATGGTATTAATGTCTGCAATATACCACAATCCAGTATACACTGTGTGTCCATAGACATGAAATGAATCGGTGAACCTGATAAGCATCAAGGGACACTGACCGTGCAGCTATGACAGGCAGCTGTCAGAGGATGCTGAGCTCTCCTTCCGCCCCGCACCTCTCAGCATCCTGTGTCACGCGATCAGGAGAGCGGCAGTGTGGGGGCGGAGACAGCTGTCACAGGAGGCCAGGCTGGCGGTGCGGGAAGGAGTCAGCTGCGATCACTGAGTGTTTGTAAATAATTGAGAAAATAGTATGTTTATTGTCCCCAATTATGAATGAATGGGAAATTATCTACATCATTTCCTGTTCATTCATGATTGTGGACATAGTAAACATACTATATGCACATTTTATGAATGAGCAGGAACACGCAGTATAGAGGATTCCTGTTCATTTATAACTGGGGATGCAGAAAAAGAGATTGAGAACTCTGTGTCCTCCATCTCTTTTTCTATTTTAATTGGTTTCGGCCTGACCTTTTTGTTACAAAATTTTGTTTCGGTTTTGAAAATTTCATTTTGATTGACCCCTAAGTTTAATGCATGCAGTCTTTCCTCATAGTTTAGGTCCTCTAACCCTGTTTATTAGCTTTGCCGCAATTCTCTGGACTCTCTCCAGCTCAAGGATATCCTTTCTGTGGATTGGTCACCAAAACTAAACCGCGTACTCGAGATGTGGCCGAACCAGTGTTTTGTAGAGGGGCAGAATTATGGATTTGTCTTTAGAGTACATTCCCTTTCTTTATGCCTGATAGTACCCTGCTTGCCTTATTTGCTGCAGCCTGGCATTGCATACTTTTACTAAGGTGGCTGTCCACCACGACTCCTAAATCTTTTTCCACCTCTGATTTCCCAAGTGGAACACCCATTAATGAGTAGCTTGCATGTGTATTTTTAACTCAAATGCATAACCTTACACTTCTTAATATTAAACCTCATCTGCCATGCAGATGCCCACTCCTGTTATCTAGATCTTCCTGTAATATTGCTATGTCTTCTGTTGAGTTTATTATCTCACAAATTTGATATCTACAAAACCTGAAATATTGCTAATACCAGTCCCAATATCATTGATAAACAGGTTGAACAGCAATGACCCCAAGACAGAACCCTGGTGCACACCTCTGCCAACCAAGGACCGCTTGGAAAATGAGCCATTTATTTATACTTTCTGGACACGTTTACTTAGCCAGTTCTCTATCTAAGTACACACCATTTCATCAATGCCCAAAGATTGAAGCTTGTAAATTAAACGTTTATGAGGTATCGAATGCTTTTGCATAATCAAGGTACACTATGTCCAATGGCTTTCCTCCATCTAGGTTGCCACTCGCCTCCTCATAGAACGCTAATAGGTTAGTTTGACACGAACGGTCTTTCCTGAAGCCACGTTTGTCACTTATGATATTGTCCCCATAGGAACATTCATGAATATGGTCCTTTATCATACCCTCAAATAACGTGCATACTATGGATGTTAAGCTGACTGGTCTATAATTTCCAGGTACACATCCCAAACCTTTGTTAAATATTGGTACCACAGTTGCTATATGCCAATCCGCTGGTACCTCCCCAGTTAGTATGGATCCCTTAAAAATTAGGAGGCTGTGCAGCCATGTGACCACCGAATAAAATTTTAAAAAAGTGTGTGTGCGTATATATATAATGTATATATTATTAAAAAAATGTAATTAAAACTAGGTTAATGACACCATTAGGGTTTTAGAATATCATGGCTTTGTTTGCATTAGTCTTCACATATATCTTTTGTCATTACATATGACACATATCTTTTAACTCACTGACCGGGAAAAGCAGGCAGATCAGAAATGTCAGATGTCCTCATCTGCATGCTTGCTCTGACTCAACTCAAGTGTGCGCCGTTACTTTTAAAACTAATTGCAACTTACTAATAATTATATAATTGTATGTGATTAAAACCCCTAAATTGAATGACATTTAGTTTGATAATGCACTGTGTATCACAAACAATTGCCATTTCTAATAAAATACTTGTTTTTTCTTTTTGTTTCATCTCAGTATTGCTGATCTCCTGGAGCCTCTTTGCAGCCACATTCTATCTATATGCAAACACTCAAGTGATGGCTCCATAATTTTTTTCAGGGAGGGTTTCCTGATGTCGACAATGGTGGACCATGTGGAGCCTGTTGAATGCATGTTGAAACGGTCACTTGTAATCTCCAACAGAAGCCCTCATAACAGGGTGACAACACAGTAGCACAACTGGGAGACGGGGACATTGTTGTCACCCTACAACAGGAACTACCTGAACAAGAACCTTCATGCTATGATTCCCATGTATTATTTTAATAAAAAATGCAGATATTTTTTTTTTTTTTTTTTTAACTCACTACCCCCCCCCCCCCCCCCCCAAGTCCCTGGTGCACTTATCTGCAGTGATGACCCTGGAGTGCCAGGGTTTATGTCAGGGTTTCTTACCCTTCCTTGTCCTGTTGTAGTATACCTGACAATGTTCATTCCTCTTTGGCGCCATCTTATGACCAAACCAGTAAACATCATTCTGCAACTCATAGCAAATTCCTGTCTCAGAGTGATGATGCAACACCAGTTCACTATTTAACCATCAGCTTGTCCATTTAATCTCCGCCCTTGCATGTGTTCAGATCTATCAAGTGCTCTGCTGTTGTTCCTGTTCTCCTTGTATGGCCCTGGCTGTCGCTTACTGATCCCTGGGTTTCTGACTCTGGGTGTGGTTTCCGTTCATCCTGCTCTGTTTTCCCTGACCTGGTTCTGCTGACTACCCGCTTTGGCATCTGACCTCTGGCTTGGCACCGATGACGTTCTGGTCTTTCTCCATTGTATTTTGCCATATGTATTGTTATTTTCCATACACTCCTTATATTTTTAACCTGAACTTTAAGTTTCTGTCTGGTTTCTTGCTTCCATAACACCATATAATATTCATGGCACTTGAACACCTCACTACACAGCTCCAGAGGCTGTATAGCAACATTATGCTTGCAATTGGGAGTGGTCTGTCGTGTGGGCAGCGGACAAGCGTCATCATTGCAGATAATTGCAATGGGGACCCAGGGTGGCTTTCAGGGATTTGGTGAGGAGGGTTTTGCAAGTTAGTTCCTCTAACCCTAGGCTTATCTCCTAAATCCCAAACGAACCTATTTGACACCAAAACTAACCTATCAGTCCCACAACACATACTTTCTTCGATGGCTGTACAATGCCAAAAACAACAGTTTCTTGTTAAAGCTCATATAAGATTTTGGCGATTTGGGTTTACATACACTTTAACACTACAATTAATAACTTACATTTTTATTCTGTTTTTATCCTAGCTCACTTGTATTCATTAACTTGCCATGGACTGCCCACGAGACAATTTTGGAAGGTCGATGTGCAATGGGTTTCCTTCTACTGAAAAGAAATCCATCTCCATGGTGGCTGAGGGCCATGGACAGCAGATACTAACAGTGCTGCAGAGTTTCAGAGAGCAGGGCGTGTTCTTTGATTTTACCATAAATGTAAAAGATGAAGTCATTCCTTGCCATCGATGTGTGCTGGCAGCCAGCAGTGACTTTTTCAGGTATGACCATTAATGCCATTTAGTGTCACATCCCACCACCATGATCCCATCTTTTCTAAATACCACCTGTGAATTTACTGATTTTCACAGTTCAGACTGAAGTTTGTACAGCAGCCTTTCTGAACATTGGAGGAACCCATGAAATAAGTTTTAGGTCCTGGGGAACCCTTGCTAAACAGTAGGGATGCACCGATACTGTTTTTTCTGTTATTTATATTTCGGTACTCGCCAACATCAAGTACCGATATTACATCTAGCATGGAGCCGGCTTCCAAAGCAATCATGAAGCCGGGCGGCATGTAATTACCCGCCGCCCAGCTTCTTGATTGCCTGGGAAGCCGGCTCCATGCTGGTTGGCCGGCTTGATGCTGATTGGCCGGGAAGCCAACTTCCCGGCCAATCAGTGGCAGGGCATTTCCTACCTCTTTTTGGCATATAGCTGGGGGCGCCTCTCCACAACTGATTGAGTCGGGAGGACAGAAAGGCATTCACAGTTTTGAGTGAGCTTGAGTGAACACCAAGGCAAGGCTCATCACTATTCACTAATAGGCTCATTGCCGCTTATTACAAAATGGACATCATTTTAATTACCTTGTCCCCTCTTTTAGTGGGCTGCTTTAACTAATGTTAGCATGTCCTCCCTCGGTGACAGCTCCTAGACACTATCGGGAATAAGCTAATTTAAAGCAAACCGTGCTTTGTCCTTGTAGGCCAAAGCAGCAAGTCTGCTTTCATTCTGCCTCCCAAGCAGCATAATATGTTTTCTTCACTCTGCTACCAAGAGTGAAAAAAATACCTGGTACTTCTGGTGCTTGGTGATTGGCCCAGTGCCGTCACAAGGACAGGGTGAGTTCTCAAGAAAAAAGGGGAAGGTAACTCGTCACAAGATGGCGGGTTAATAGTGGTCAATTTAAGGATCCGGACAAGCCAGTTGGTTACGTGAAAAAAATTTAATTTTATTGAAAAGGAAATATACAAGATAACACATTTACTGACAATACCACCATTAAAACCTATTAAAATTGCAGACACTATTCAATTAAATGTGGATCGATCCTCATGCACTTCTATCATTCATTCCACCGTGAGAGGTAAGTGGCCAGTGAACTACCCACGTTGCCACCTATCTCTCCGTGAGGTTGCCCCTGCGTGTATCTGTAAACGCGGGCTATCTAGGTGAAGCTGTATACCAGGGTATAACCAATTAAAGGGAAAGTATTCTGGTAATAGTATTTGCAATAGAGGTGTCAGATAAATATACAATGATTGCCTAGATTTCGTACAGAATCAAATTATATACTGTGCTTTGACCATAGATGATTATGGATAAAGTGGATCCTGATAGGTTATTTTTTTGATTTTGTAAAGAATGTCCTCAGATGTTTGTAAATCCTTTCCCTCTATCAATTTGCTTTTTCTTTCAGAATTCCTTTGGTGGGTGTTTCCCTGTGGGGTTAAACTTTTCCTTGGGTTAGTGTTGGCTTGTATTTAGCCGTGTGTACACTTAACCCTTTCTATCTTCTTCACCTTGGGATATCGTGGTAGAGACACCGGGATGTAATCAGGTTGTCTATTCAAACCGAGGTGGAAGGGTGGGGGTATTATCCCATGGACAGACTACTACTGGATCATCTTATATGTCACGCCTGACTTTAACCTTCTTCCTCTCAATGAGTGTTGGATTTTGCATGTGAAGGTACAAGGCTTCGCTTCAGTATAGTATTCAAACAGTGTCCTTAACGGGCATAGATAGAGGATTTTTCGTCACTCACGTTTACTGAAGTTCCTTGTAGTCCGGGCGATTTATTAGCTTTGCCGCAATTCTCTGGACTCTCTCCAGCTCAAGGATATCCTTTCTGTGGATTGGTCACCAAAACTAAACCGCGTACTCGAGATGTGGCCGAACCAGTGTTTTGTAGAGGGGCAGAATTATGGATTTGTCTTTAGAGTACATTCCCTTTCTTTATGCCTGATAGTACCCTGCTTGCCTTATTTGCTGCAGCCTGGCATTGCATACTTTTACTAAGGTGGCTGTCCACCACGACTCCTAAATCTTTTTCCACCTCTGATTTCCCAAGTGGAACACCCATTAATGAGTAGCTTGCATGTGTATTTTTAACTCAAATGCATAACCTTACACTTCTTAATATTAAACCTCATCTGCCATGCAGATGCCCACTCCTGTTATCTAGATCTTCCTGTAATATTGCTATGTCTTCTGTTGAGTTTATTATCTCACAAATTTGATATCTACAAAACCTGAAATATTGCTAATACCAGTCCCAATATCATTGATAAACAGGTTGAACAGCAATGACCCCAAGACAGAACCCTGGTGCACACCTCTGCCAACCAAGGACCGCTTGGAAAATGAGCCATTTATTTATACTTTCTGGACACGTTTACTTAGCCAGTTCTCTATCTAAGTACACACCATTTCATCAATGCCCAAAGATTGAAGCTTGTAAATTAAACGTTTATGAGGTATCGAATGCTTTTGCATAATCAAGGTACACTATGTCCAATGGCTTTCCTCCATCTAGGTTGCCACTCGCCTCCTCATAGAACGCTAATAGGTTAGTTTGACACGAACGGTCTTTCCTGAAGCCACGTTTGTCACTTATGATATTGTCCCCATAGGAACATTCATGAATATGGTCCTTTATCATACCCTCAAATAACGTGCATACTATGGATGTTAAGCTGACTGGTCTATAATTTCCAGGTACACATCCCAAACCTTTGTTAAATATTGGTACCACAGTTGCTATATGCCAATCCGCTGGTACCTCCCCAGTTAGTATGGATCCCTTAAAAATTAGGAGGCTGTGCAGCCATGTGACCACCGAATAAAATTTTAAAAAAGTGTGTGTGCGTATATATATAATGTATATATTATTAAAAAAATGTAATTAAAACTAGGTTAATGACACCATTAGGGTTTTAGAATATCATGGCTTTGTTTGCATTAGTCTTCACATATATCTTTTGTCATTACATATGACACATATCTTTTAACTCACTGACCGGGAAAAGCAGGCAGATCAGAAATGTCAGATGTCCTCATCTGCATGCTTGCTCTGACTCAACTCAAGTGTGCGCCGTTACTTTTAAAACTAATTGCAACTTACTAATAATTATATAATTGTATGTGATTAAAACCCCTAAATTGAATGACATTTAGTTTGATAATGCACTGTGTATCACAAACAATTGCCATTTCTAATAAAATACTTGTTTTTTCTTTTTGTTTAATCTCAGTATTGCTGATCTCCTTGAGCCTCTTTGCAGCCACATTCTATCTATATGCAAACACTCAAGTGATGGCTCCATAATTTTTTTCAGGGAGGGTTTCCTGATGTCGACAATGGTGGACCATGTGGAGCCTGTTGAATGCATGTTGAAACGGTCACTTGTAATCTCCAACAGAAGCCCTCATAACAGGGTGACAACACAGTAGCACAACTGGGAGACGGGGACATTGTTGTCACCCTACAACAGGAACTACCTGAACAAGAACCTTCATGCTATGATTCCCATGTATTATTTTAATAAAAAATGCAGATATTTTTTTTTTTTAAGA